AAACAATCTAACCTTACACCTGAAGCAACTAGAGAAAAAGAACAAAAAAACTCCCCAAAGTTAGTAGAAGGAAAGAAATCATAAATATCAGAGCAGAAATAAATGAGATAGAAAACAATAGCAAAGATCAATAAAACTAAAAGTTGGTTCTTTGAGAAGATAAACAAAATTGATAAAACTTTAGCCAGACTCATCAAGAAAAGAAGGGACAGGACTCAAATCAGTAAAATTAGAAATGAAAAAGAAGAAATTACAACTGACACCACAGAAATACAAAAGATCATAAGAGACTACTACAAGCAACTATATGCCAATCAAATGGACAACCTGGAAGAAATGGACAAATTCTTAGAAAGGTACAATCTTCCAAAACTGAACCAGGAAGAAATAGAAAATATAAACAGATCAATCCCAAGTAATGAACTTGAAACTATATTTAAAAATCTTCCAACAAACAAACATCCAGGGCCAGATGGCTTCACAGGCAAATTCTATCAAACATTTAGAGAAGAGCTAACACCCATCCTTCTCAAACTCTTCCAAAAAGCTGCAGAGGGCGAAACACTCCCAAACTCATTCTACGAGGCCACCATCACCCTGATACCAAAACCAGACAAAGATGTCACAAAAAAAGAAAAGTACAGGCCAGTATCACTGATGAACATAGATGCAAAAATCCGGAACAAAATACTAGCAGACAGAATCCAACAACACATTAGAAAGGTCATATACCATGATCAAGTAGGATTTATCCCAGGGATGCAAGTGATACAGCCACTGTGGAGAACAGTATGGAGGCTCCTTAAAAAACTAAAAATAGAACTACCATATGACCCAGCAATCCCACTACTGGGCATATACCCTGAGAAAACCACAATTCAAAAGGACACATGTACCCCAATGTTCATTGCAGCACTATCTACAATAGCCAGGACATGGAAGCAACCTAAATGTCCAACGGTAGGGGAATGGATAAAGAAGATGTGGTACCTATGTATGGAATATTACTCAGCCATAGAAAGGAATGAAATTGGGTCATTTTTAGAGATGTGATTTTTAGAGTCTGTCATACAGAGTGAAGAAAGTCAGAAAGAAAAAAACAAATATCATATATTAACGCATATATGTGGAATCTAGAAAAATGGTACAGATGACCCTATTTGCAGGGCAGGAGTAGAGATGCAGATGTAGAAAATAGATGTGTGGACACAGGGGGCCTGAGGCAGTAGGTGCTGAGACGAATTGGGAGATTAGGATTGACACATACGCACTACCATTTGTAAAATTGATAGCTAGTGGGAACCTGCTGTGTAGCACAGGGAGCTCAGCTCTGTGCTCTGTGACCACCTGGATGGGTGGGATTGGGTTAGGAGAGTGAGGTCAAGAAGGAGGGGAGGGCTTCCCTGGTGGCGCAGTGGTTGAGAGTCTGCCTGCTGATGCAGGGGACACGGGTTCGTGCCCCGGTCCGGGAAGATCCCACATGCCACGGAGTGGCTGGGCCCGTGAGCCATGGCCGCTGGGCCTGCGCGTCCGGAGCCTGTGCTCCGCAACGGGAGAGGCCACAACAGTGAGAGGCCCGCGTACCGCAAAAAAAAAAAAAAAGAAAGAAAGAAAGAGGGGATATATGTATACATATGGCTGTACAGCAGTTTCTGTACAGCAGAAACTAACAACATCGTAAAGCAACTATTCTCCAATAAAAAAATAAAACAGCTAAAAAAAATAAGAATGAAAGCATAATGATTTCAGTATACAGTGCAGTGTGATAAAGAAAAAGATATGGGTGCTATTAGAACTTATAAAAGAACCCCAGTCTAGTCTGGGAGGTCAGGGAAAGCCTCTGTAAGAGCTGATGTCTAAGTTGACAACTAAAACATGAGTGGGAATTAGCCAAGCAAAGTGCGAGTAGGGGGCCGAGGCCATTATTCAGGAAGAAGGAACAGCCTGCGTGGAAGCCGCAACTTGGGAGCTGGGATCAGTCAAGAGTGAAGGAGAGTAGGAATTAGAGGCAGAGGAGGGCAGTTCCTGAGGCTGGGGAGACATTGGTGAGGAGTTAGGATTACACTGTGAGTGTAATAAAAGACCCTGAAGGTTTATAAGCAGAGGAGGTACATGATCTCCACTGGTGCTTTAGCGGGTCAGTAAACATTACGCCCATCTCCAGTCCAGTGTTGAAACTGGGGAAGAAAGGTGCACAGGATCAGCTGATTTCTTCCTGGTTGAAGCTCAGTGAAACAGATGGCTTTAGACCTGAGCCACGAGGTTGTGCTAATCCCCCGCCCTGAATTAGGCCTCTGCTCCCCTGTCCCATTGGACAACCACGGGCTTCTTTCCACAAGGCAGAGCCTGACTCACAAAAATTCCTCCAAGGTTGAAAGAGCAGATGGGAACCTGTGCTGTCTGTGGGCAAATAATTTCCAAAGAGAGGACCCTAAAGAGGGTGGGGTACATGTGTTCTTTCTGCTTCGAAGGTCACCACCTTCCCCAGGGAGGAAGGAGCGAGAGAGCAGGGCAGGAGGCCCAGAGATCCTTCCACACTGGGAAGGCTGTCTTCCCAGACACCGCCCCCCCAAAACACACACACACCCAAAATGGTCTGATTTGTGATCTGCAAAATCATTTTGTGTGTAGAGAATCGATTACAGAGAGATCAGTTAAAATCTGCAGTCTTCAGCTAGAGCTGGGTAGTCAGGTGCTTATCAGAGCATCATGTATACATTTCATAGTTTTAGAAAGCTACTGCAGGCATCTAAGCAAGAAATAACAGTGGTGGTGAGATAGACGGAGGAAAAAACACTTGGGGAGGTAAAGTGAATAGGACTTGGTGTTTGGTTAAGTGTCGGGCAAGCCAGGGAGAGGGTGGAGCCACCCAGATCAGCAATCCACCAGTTGGGAGGTGGGCAGAATCTGTCCTTACCTACTGCTTACTTCCACCTCCCCAGACTTGCCTTCCCCACCTCTGTGTCCTCATTTCATGCCTTGTCCTCCCGCTTCCAGGGGTTCGTGCCTGCGTGTGCTGCTCCCTGTCTGCATTAGACCACGGTGTCCTGCATCCCTCCCAGCACCAGGATCTCGGGATTTTCCAGATGTGATTATTGGCAGATTTGTTCATAATAATTATATGCCAGTAGACACATCTGGCTCTTTATGGGTTTCAAAGTCCCTTTACATTTGTTGAACACATAAATATTCTCTTAGAGGGCAGTAGAAAGGCCTCCAAAGTGGTCTTCAACCCATGATTCCCTTAAGAACAGATTTCTGAAAACAGAACTTAGCCCTTTCTTATCTAACCCTATGCAGCCCACTCTGGAGTAAATAAGAGGATAGGGTGGGTGAGGAATTTGGGGTTGACTGAGCCTTAAGCTCTCCTTAACCTTTAAGCTGTCCTTAACCTAACATGTTACTGCTTTAGCACAAGGGTGTTTCTCTCTGTCCGTCTGTGATTTGTGGGACAGGCACGTGCTCCAGAGCCTGGAAAGAGAACTTTCATCTCATTGCAGTGCAGTTTGGTCTTTTTAAGGCTTATCTTGACTCACCCCTATTGATTTTTTTCCTCTTTTCTCTAGATTTCCCACTTACACATCATAATACCACATCAGAATGTTTCTCAAAAAAATACAGTTTTTAAAAATGTCCTTTGAGCTTTGCAAATTAAAATGGATTAGGTCTGAGAAAGGCTTCAGAAGTCTGATGCGGTAGGTTTCAGAAGAGACAGAGGAGCACCATGGTGCTCTTTTGGCTCCCTCAGAAAGTATTGCTTCTAAAATTTGAAAATATTATACTTTATAGGAATTCCATCAGCTGGCTGAAATCTTAACTCCTTCCTATCAGATTAATTTGGGGAAAAAAGAATGTGAAATGTAGAGCTTCCTGAGAAATGTTGTCATGTGATAATTACTTCATAATAAACACAGGAGTATAAGGAAGTTGATTTAAAATTACTTTAAAATATATTAAAAATGAAAAGATTAGAAGCGGAACCTAAATTCTTCAAAGCTTTATAATGTTTTAATATTTAAATTATGTAATATTTGCTACATTTTTGGGTGGAAGAGTAATTCTGTTTTCTTCTAATTTCTGAAGTTGGATGTTTCAGCTTTCCTTCTTTCCTAATAAAAACATTTAAGGCTTTGTATTTTCCTCTAACTTCTGCTTAACTGCATCTCATCATTTTGATGTGTAATGTTTTCATTATCATTTAATACTGAATATATTTTAAATTCCTATTATGATTTCTTTTTTACTCCGTATTTAGAGGTACGTTTTAAAATTTCTGAACCTATTGGGTTTCTATTTATTCTTTATTTGTTGGGATTCTATTTATGTTTTTGTTAATGGCTTTAACACAGTTGCCCTATGGGCAAGTGACACGGGCTATATAATACCACTACTTTTTTAAAAATAAATTTATTTATTTATCTTTTTTTTTTTTAATTTTTGGCTGCGTTGGGTCTTCGTTGCTGCATACAGGCTTTCTCTAGTTGCGGCAAGCGGGGGCTACTCTTCGTTGCAGTGGCTTCTCTTGTTGCGGAGCACGGGCTCTAGGCACATGGGCTCAGTAGTTGTGGCATGCAGGCTCAGTAGTTGTGGCTCTCAGGCTCAGTAGTTGTGGTGCATAGGCTTAGTTGCTCCGTGGCATGTAGGATCTCCCTGGACCAGGGCTCGAACCCGTGTCCCCTGCATTGGCAGGTGGATTCTTAACCACTGAGCCACCAGGGAAGTCCCGATACCACTTCTTTAAGATGGGTTAAGCCTTTGTAAAATGGTTTTGCTTCCCACTTTAACCAAGCTTTTGCAATTCAGAGCAAAGCAATTCTGGTGTACAAACTCTGATACTTGTCCATTTTTCCTCAAGCATCTTCAGTTACCAAAACTTTTTATTGGGTAGGACATATATTAATTATCAAGATCATATCAGTTCTTTTCATTTTATTGTCCAAATCCTGGGAGCAAGTTGATTTCTAGAGTATTACTAATTATTTCCTTATTATTTTAAACAGGAGTATGCTGTGAACTGCCATGTTATCACCTGGGAGAGGATTATCAGCCATTTTGATATATTTGCCTTTGGACATTTCTGGGGCTGGGCTATGAAGGCCTTGCTGATCCGTAGTTATGGTCTCTGCTGGACAATCAGTATTACCTGGGAGCTGACTGAGGTAAGAAGGGGGTGTGGGCTGCTATCTAGATGCTACAGTGTGGACAGTTTATATGCAGGAAGAAGGTAGTCCATCAGTTAAGAGTCAAGTAACCCATTCTGCAGCTCCTGTGGTACAAAACTGTTTAAGTCCCCAAGGGATATTTTATACCTTTGTCAAACAAACAGGGAAACTCCTTGTCAACTTAAGGTCTGCTCTGTCTCACAAGTCTTAAAGAGAAACAAATGGAATCAAGCTAAAGAATGAAGTTAAAATCCTAAGCAAGATAATTCAGTGGCAATGAGGACAACTGCTAAGAAGTTAATAGGTAGTTTACCCACTAACTAGTTTCCAGTTAGATAGAATTTTGGTGCTTGGGAATTATGAGGCCATCCAAGACATTGCGTCACTTAAAAATGGATTCCCAGTGTAGCTTAAATATCACGGTCATCAAAAGTTTGTCTCATTCGATGAATGAAAGAGATATATTCTTGAAAAACTATTACTGAAATGATATTTTGGGAACTAGTTCATTTTATTGTTCAGTTATTATGTTATTCTTAAGCATTCCGGGGGACAGAATTTGGTCGTGTGCACAGTTATTTCTTCATGCCTGCCGTTGTCCTGACTCTAACCTTTAGCAAAGCATGCCAGTTAGATATTCGCTTCTATTAGTGTTCCTCTCATGGCCCCGAGGCTAGAAGCCCGAGTTCAGGGTGTGGGCAGGGTTGGTTCCTTCAGAACCTGTCCCAAGCCTCTCTTAGGCCTCTGCTCATGGTTTGCTGGTCATCTTTGGTGTTCCTTGGCTTGTAGATCACCAGAGTCTCCGCCTCCATCTTCACGTGGCCTTCACCCTGCATGTGTTCACATGGCATTCTTTTCATAAGGACACCAGTCATGTTGGATTAGGGGCCGACCTCCTCCAGTACGACCCCTTCTCAACTATTACATCTGCAGTGACTGCATTTGCAAATAAGCTCACATTATAAGGTCCCGGAGCTTAGGACTTCCATCGTATGGATTTTTGAGGGGGAACGATTCAACCCATAACAGTGCCCAGCACTGTTCATACATCATCCTGAATCTTCACCATAACCCAGAAGGGCAGTATGTATTCCCAGTGTACTGATGGGAACCAGAGCTCAGAGCCAGGAGTGGATCCAGAGGTGCTTGACGGGGAACGTGGCCCGTGTCCTGCCCTCGTACCACGGGCTCCCTCTAACTTGCAGGCATCTTCAGGACCTTACCGCCATGAGACCTGTGCAGGGCACTTGGCCTTCCTCAGCCTCCCTTTCTTCCTCCCCTGCCCCCCCCCCCCCCCCCCCCCCCCCCCCCCCCCACCCCCCCACCCCCGCCCACTGGGCCTCTTGCGCCTCCCTTTTCCTGGTGGCTCTTTTCTCAACACCTCTCCAGTTTATCCCTCTGCTGCGCTCTCCCCTCTCATCTGAATTTCCCATCTCCTCCCTGCACACTATCTTTTGCCAAAGTGAACCTTTCACCCCTCAGCCCAATCACCTCCTTCTACTAAAAACTCCTCCCTGTTGGTCCATTGCTCTTAAGACAAAATCCAGGTGGCTTCTGAACCACCTCTGAGGCCTGGTGTTCACTGGCCCAGCCCACCTCCCAAGCCTCCTTGAACCCTTTCACCTGCCCTCTGCTCCAGCCAGCTTTGCATTCTTCACTTCAAAGATGCTGTGTCCTTTCCTCCCACGGAGCCTGCCTCTGAGTTCCTCCCTCTCTGCCCTGCTCCCTGTACTGGCTGGGCTCATGTTTGTACACCTGGAAATAGAGCACCTGGCTCTTCTCCTCTGAAACACTCAGCATAGGTTAAATACTTGATAGATGTTTCTTTTCTGCTAAACGTTATGCCTCAAGAGGGCAGGGCCCATGTCTGCCTAGTCCCAGACCCCAGCGCTCTGCCTCATACATTCAGGCAGATGCTCCCGAATCCCTAGGGAGTGAACAAATGTGGCTCCTTCCAGGTCCCCGACTCCTCTCTCTCTGGGCTGTCTCACCCCCAAATCCGGTACTTTCCAGAAAGGCTCCTCGGGCGGATGTATGTCCTCCACAACCCCTACCCAGTATTATTTCAGCAAGTCTGTCGTTGGCTTCTGCAGAAGTTTCTCTCTGCCCCGTGTGAGTTAATGCTCCATGTCATGGCTTGGACCTGGGAATGCAGTCCCGGGTGGTACGTGGCCCTCTGGGGGCTAGCACACAGCCCCTCGCTGTCACATGCGGGAGCTGTTCAGTATCTCCTCGGAAGCAGGCACATCAGGAAGGCAAACTCCTCGTACAATATTTGTATTCTTTTACAGTCTATGCGACGCTTTCATGAATAGTTTTAACTTGTAGCATTTATTGTATTACCTCAGATGTTTATAATCATGGGGTTGCCTCTTTCCAGAGAACTGTCAGGCGTTGTCTTTGTAATTTCAGACCTTAAAGCGGGCCTTCACAGAGCACCCCATGCTGCTTGATAGAGCCGACGGGTCCTTTGTTTTGGACAAAACTGTTTCCGTGAAAGACTTCTGTTCCACCCTTGATCTCACTGCGCCCTTTTTCTGGAATGTCCTCACCTTCATCTCCATCTCTTGAAATCAGTCATTCCTGTCCTTAATGATCCCACTCCACCCTGTCTTCCTTCCAGAAGTCTACCGCCATTGCCATCTATCCGAATGAATCTCTCAGTGTCCCAATTTATGTCACCATTGTAACACTTGCCACAGCATACCTGATTTTGTGTTCTGAATAAGCGTCTGGCCTCTGCCCTTAAGATCAAGAACCTTGATCCATTTTATCTCACCACCTTGTACGTCGTAGGCACTTAAAAGGTTATCACTGCAAATCAGTTAGCGTGGGATTTCCTATTAAGCTAATTTACCACTTACTCACTGTTTTCCCCAGATATCTATAGACCGTTTCTAAAATACACAGCTTAAATTCTCAAGCTGCTAATTTTGAGGATTCTGCCAGTGCTCTGTAGACAGTTAGGAACACTTTGCTCTCTTCCCTCTTCTGGGTCCGTGTCATGTTGTCATTAGCCAAGGTAATTTACTGGTAGTATTTTTCAAGGTGGGTTATCATTTCTTTAAAGCCCTGTGTCCAAAAAAAGAGGAGCTGTTTGGATTAGCAATATTTGCGAACCATCCACAAAATAAACAAGAACCTGATTACAGACCTTGGTTTTATTTTTTTTTAATACATCAGGAAAACCTAAGACGTCAACAAGTTTTGCTAAGAGAATGTACTATTAAAAGGAAAGTTATCTTTCTGTGTGGTACCCCAGGTTTGTTTTTATTCACGTTTGTTTTTTCATCATCGCTTGTGTTTCTCAGCTTTTCTTCATGCATCTTCTGCCCAATTTTGCCGAGTGCTGGTGGGACCAAGTCATTCTGGACATCCTGCTGTGCAACGGTGGTGGTATCTGGCTGGGCATGGTCGTCTGCCGGTTTTTAGAGATGAGGACTTACCACTGGGCAAGCTTCAAGTGAGTCATCTTCCTCCGGGCCCTGAGTCACGGTTTCTCACAATGCAGATTTAACTGCCTCAGTAGCACGCAACATGAGTACGTTCTCTGATGATAAGGAATAAATTATGCATTAGTAACTGGAACTCAAAAATGATTATAAGCCCAGTTTCAGGCATTGATCCAGAAAATGCTAAATCATTTACGAGTTTCTCAAATCCATCCCCTCCTTTTTATCCATATGCCTCAGCCTGAATTCAGACTCCCGTGGCTGGATTGATTAGTCCCTTGTCCCCAGGTTAACCCCTCTAAGCCTTCTGCCACCATTGCTTGAATGATCTTAGGAACATCACATCCATCATGTCATTTCCCTGTGGTGGCTTCTCATGGGCCTTAGGACAAAGTCCATAGACTTGGCAATTATAAGTCACTTATTCTGTCTCAAATTTATTTTGTTATGTGGTGTAAGGGGTAGATTTCACAACGTTATTGTGTTTGATTAACCGGTTTTCCCCATCCCTTTCATGAATAATCCTTTCTTTGGCCACTGACTTGAAAGGACACTTTTTAATATATTTCATACAGTATATACTGTAACAAAATCTGTCACAGTGCTGGGTGTTGCTCCAAGCAAGCTTCATACGCAGTATCTCATTTGAGCCTTACATCAGTCCTAGGGATAGACACTGCCATTCTGTTCACTTTAGGGTTGAAGGTACTGAGGCTTCAGTGTAGTAATTTGCCTGAGGATACCCAGCAAGCAAGCAGTAGAGTCTGAATTTACATCAGGCTGTCTGGGTCCTTAAACACTCCATAATGCTTCCCTGTTTTCATACATTTATGCTTCAAATTCAACTTGAGAATCATCCTGTCAAATTCCCAAGACGTAAGTGCAACTACTGAACAAAAAAGTCCCGTTGGTCTTAAGTTACATGAAACATATGAATGTATATAGATCAGGTTGGATTAACCTTTTCACTACATTAAGTATTCCAGTTCTCCTCACACTGTATCTCTGTTTATTCCCATCTTCCTCTACCTCTTTCCGTGAAGTTTCACCATTTTTTATATACAGGTTCTTCATCATTCTTGTTTATTTTTGGATAGTCTCTGTTTCTTTGTTGCCCTTGTGCCTCAAATCTTCTTGCTGGGAGATTTTCTCACTGCATGCTTGTTGATGGGTGGGTGAGTGAGTGAAGGAACAAACCTGGTTTCCTTCTACTCCCCCTTCCCATCTCCCTCCTCCCTCCCCAAGAATAAAAGGCCTGGCCTTTTTATCCTTATGCCGTCAGCACTTTAAAACGGTGTCTATGACCTAAAGGTCCTCGATATACATCTCTGTTGAATCTAAAATATCTTTACCATTTATTAAATACTATGACCTTGGATTTCGGCTCTCCTGGTCTAGCACAAGAGGACCAGACTCTACCCCCAACTCTGAGGTTTACAAAGTGAGCCGGAGTCAGCCATTCCCTTTCTCGGAGCCTCAATTTTGTCACTTGTGAAACGTGGGACTATTTGTTTCTATCACAGGAATATGAAATTGAGTGATTTCTAGGATTGAAACTAAGAAAGGTTAAAAATCACTGTCACTCCAAACTGTTCACTTAATTGAGGAAGCTATAGAGTGAGGAAATGCTGTGGGTCACCTCACACATGGAGCATGTTCTCTGTTTTACCAGGGTGCCCTGGGGGCGGGGGCATGGGTGGGAGTGGTGTCCTTCCTGGCCTAGTTCCAGATGGCTGTCTTTAATGTACCTCAGCTTCTTTTGTCACCAGTTCACAAACTGTGGCCTGTGCTGGCGTGGCCAGTCCACTGATGCTCCCCACCTGGCGTGCTGCTCTCAGCGCATCACCTGTGAATAGAGGCCGCTGTTGGAGAGACGTTCAAATAGAAAGGAATCTTTCTGTTCTGAGCATTGGTTGTAAAATAGTCAATGCATTTTTTACAGTTTTTTGGCTTTTTGTTTCTTCCCCCTCCTATCTCTCTGGATTTTCACCGGAGCTGTTTTCTTCTCACAGGGACATCCACACCACCACCGGGAAAATCAAAAGAGCCGTGCTCCAGTTCACTCCTGCTAGCTGGACCTATGTTCGGTGGTTTGACCCCAAATCTTCATTTCAGAGAGTGGCTGGAATATACCTTTTCATGATCATCTGGCAGGTATCTCTTCAAATGCTCAAAAGTAGGGGAAAACAAAATAAAAACCATCCAGGAACTTAGGGTTCATGCTAGTTGACATTCCTCATCAGCTCGATGCTTTAGAAGATGTAATATTCTGCAGCTGACATATAGAATTAAAGTGATGCTGTTACGCCTAAGGTCTTGCTTCATCGTGAAGACGTTTTAAAATATGGATCTTTGAATTACAAATTGGAAACAGATTAAAATTCCCTGTAAAAACCTTGTGCTCAGCATCTATCACCCAGTGAGTTAGGCATTCGATTACCTTCTCGAATGATCGTTTTCAGGACTACAGCAACAAACGTAAGGCTTTTTCTTACAGTCCAAATTCAGTATTTGAGTTTTAAAATTGTGCCTCAGCTGTTACCACTTTGGGTAATTTGTAGAACGCTAAATACAGAAGCCCTCTGCTACCTGTGGGGACTGGAGCCCTTTGGGGACCTGGGTGCTCCAGAGTGCTGTCGGTGGTGGAGAGAGGCTCTCACTCCAAGCAGACTGAAGTGATTCAGACAGCCAGGGGTCTTGGAAAGGGATTACCCAACAACTCTGTTTTCCAGAGGCAGCCGTTTTTTTATTGTCCCTCCTGTCCCCAGGATAATTGTTTCACAACTTTGGGAGACTAGCTGAGGGAAACCAGCTTTCACCGGAAGGGTCCTTCAGAATCATCAGACATATTTTGAACACATATGCACGAAATACTCCCAACATAAGGAGAAAATGGGCATGTGTCACTTTAAAGATAGACTGTCCTTGTCCACAGAGGGAGAATAATAATGCCCATGTCAAGAAATGGAGTTTATGGCTACAGAAGTGTTCGTGAATAGTTATATAGTCTCCGTGGTTTGGGGAAGTCAGTGTGTATGTAAATGGAGTGTGATTAAGTTTTACCTTATGGGGCAATGCCAGGGAAGGTAGAGGTTTTCTTTTATTACGAGGACCTAGGAGGAATTTGGATTTGCCCAGGAGAGAGAGCGGAATGTGCTCCTAGAACGGCAGAATTCCACTGGGCCCACTTTCCCCTTGATGGTGAGCACGGTGCAGTGATCAGCTTTCCTTATGTGGTGATGAGTGAACCATTTTTATTTTATATCCTTAAACTCAGCACTGTGGGGAAAGACGCACATTTTATGTCACTGAAATGAACCTGCTGGTCCACGTGATGTGCTCTTAAAGCAGTGACCTTTCCTAATCTCTGCCCCTTGCTTAATCTGGAGGGGAAATGCAGTGGCCTCTGGGCGTTAAGCACAGATTTCCCGGTGGGCATCTCTTTTGTGCTGCCAGGACTGGTCATGGGATGAGCGGTACTGGGCGCTACCCTCAGGGAGCAGTCCCACTGCCAGGTGAAGCCTGGACCAACCCCACACCCACTTTTAAGAGCTGCCTTCGGTTGAGGATCTGCTCGGTCCCTGGCACGAGCTGACCGAGTCCACAGTCATCTCTCAGTCACGCACACACGCCTCAAGCTTCTTTTGGTTATTGAAGAGCCTACTTTCCTGCTGTCAGACTTTTCAACCTGGCCTAATTTCTGCCGGGCTGCGGAGGTGTTCCATGGTACAGATTCATTGTCATCATTTCGCTCTTAAAGCATCTCTCTCCCGACTGTCCCAGCAGCTCACACACGTGAGCCAGGTGACAGTCACGTGAATCTGGAAACACAACAGATGGCTGATGCCCCCTGTGCCCCTCTCAACACCCAGCACCTCCCCTGGACCCCTGCTTGGTTGGTGCCTGTGTTGTACTGGTTGTTACCGGGCTTAAGCAGCAACCCTTAGAGACCCGGTATGTCTTCTGGAAATGCTTTGAACATACCAGTTATTTTTAGCTGTAGAATGTCCATTGAAGGAATAGATGTTCATGACTTAGCACGAAGCACCAGGTTGACTCACGCCTCCTTCTTTTGCAGCTGACTGAGTTGAATACCTTCTTCCTGAAACATATCTTTGTGTTCCAAGCCAGTCATCCATTAAGTTGGTGTAGAATTCTCTTTATTGGTGGCATCACGGCTCCCACAGTGAGGTAATTCTGTGTTAGCATGACCGTCAATTGAGCATGATTACCTGCTTTGTATTCTCCTATGTAGCATAAAGGAAGTCACATAAGCTAGCAGATTTTCCGTGAAAATGTCATTCTGAAAAATTATACATCCAGGGGGAAAAAAAGAGACTTATACATCCAGAATATGAAGAAAACGTTTTGCTTCTCAGACCTCAGTAACATGAAGACCAGCACCGCACCATTATTTTCAAACCCCTTTACGATCTTCACTGCTGTCCTTTTCTCCCCCGTAGCATCCTACTTAAAACAAAATGAGTAACAGAAATGCTAAGGTTTTCTTCCTGAGATTATTGAAAACTAACAAACGTTTTTATGGTGGATTGAAGTAATAAATTATGTTATTTTTAGAATGAGACTTTATTAGTTCTTTTAGAACCAATTAAGTTAATTTCCTTTTAAAAATGTCCTTCCTGGGCTTCCCTGGTGGCGCAGTGGTTGACAGTCCGCCTGCCGACGCAGGGGACACGGCTTCGTGCCCCGGTCCGGGAAGATCCCACATGCCGTGGAGCGTCTGGGCCCGTGAGCCATGGCCACTGAGTCTGCGTGTCTGGAGCCTGTGCTCTGCAACGGGAGAGGCCACAGCGGTGAGAGGCCCGCGTACCGCAAAAAAAAAAAAAAAAAAAAAAAGATGCCCTTCCTGTGGTCCTCCAGGACAACAGGGACAAGGATGGGTGTCCATGCCCTCCTTCCGCTGGATTCATGACTCATGTAGGTCTTAGAGATGAGGCGGTGTTCAGAGACTGTCCCCAACGTGGACCGATTCCAGTGGACTTCAAAGCAAAACACTTTCATTTGTTTCATTGTTCCTATTTGGAAATGGCATTGGGGTTTTGTTTTGTTTTTTTGGGTTTTTTTGGGGTTTTTTTGTTTTTTTATGGTACGCAGGCCTCTCACTGTTGTGGCCTCTCCCGTTGCGGAGCACAGGCTCCGGACGCGCAGGCTCAGCGGCCATGGCTCACAGGCCCAGCCACTCAGCGGCATGTGGGATCTTCCCGGACCGGGACACGAACCCATGTCCCCTGCATCGGCAGGGGGACTCTCAACCACTGCGCCACCAGGGAAGCCCGGCATTGGGGTTTTATATCTAGTATGGAGGACCAGCATTGATCAGTAGAAACACCCAAGATCTCTGCACAGCTGATATAAATACAAACCAAGCAGATAAAAGAGTTTGCTCTTTAGAAGCTGTAGGATAACTTAATTCATTATTTGTAATGTACTTGTGAACTACACAAGTAGAAGGTCTCACTTGCCACGTAGAGTGGGTGTTTTCCTTAGTCAGACATAGCCCTCACCCCCAGCTAGCACCTTTTCTTGTCCTCATTCGTTATTACAAATATATTTATTTTATATATATATACAGGAAAGTAACAGCTGGTAAACCACAGCCTTTTGTCACTTTATAGACCAGTGGTCCGTCAAAGTAGTTATCTCATGCATGCAATTTTCCTTTGGTGGGTTGGAGCCTCCCTACTGTATTTAAAATTTGATTTAATTTGAGGCTGCCAGTTATTTTCAGGAAAGATTAGCAGCAGTTTCTTCATAAAATTACGAGCAATCAACAAAGTCAATAAGTGGGGAAAGAAATGTCTTATAAAACAGAACAGCAAATCACATGTGATTTATCATGAAAATTTTAATATTGTTAAACATTTCACAACAAAAACTAGAGATTAGCCCAGAGACTAAAAATCCAGTGTTCAGACTTTTAGAGAGCTCCTTAAAATTTTTGCCAAACCCTATGGGTTTCCACACAATTCTTTTTTGTTTAAAACTTAGCCACTTTCTGTGCTCCTACACCACTTGAGGCTATTCATATGTAAGGAGATGGTTTGACAAGCTTCTTGGAAAGATGGAAGTACTCTGATGGGTTTTAGGTCCCAGTTAGCAAATGCCAGGCCCTAAAAGGAAGAGAAAGCTCATAGGCTTCAGTATAAATCATACATACATACCAGCTCTCCGTTTTCAGATCTCCTGTTTAGACTTTCACATGACTCTACTTTGAGAAGATATTTGAGTGAACATTCTTTTAATCTAATAATATAATGTGCAGTGTAGGACATGGACAGCATTAGTAAAGTAGCTGAACTGGCAAAAGCAAATTAGGTAATGAAAATGTGAAGTTAGAGGAAAACCTGAATTCTTTATAGTTACAATTCTTCACTTTGGGGTACAGAGGTGATAGTTTATGGATGAGCTTTAGGCGTCCATGAACCCCCCCAAAGTTTAATGCAAAATTCTGTGTGCATGTTTTATGTGCCTTTATCATAGCTTTCATCAAACCCTCAAAGGAGTCTGTAACCCACCTCCACACCTACCCCCCAGAAGACGATGAGTTAAGTTTTAGGGCAGTAATGAGACTCTAAGCCTCCACTGTCCCACAGGCAGCCTCTCCCATGTGTGGCTACTGGGCACTGGGAGTGTGGCCAGTCACCCTGAAATGTGCTGTACGTGTAGACCTTGAAGGCTTAGTGCAAACACAATATAAAATGCTTCTTTATAATGTTTTCAATACATTGGATTATATATAAATAAATTATTAAAATGAATTTCATCTGTTCCTTTTTACTTTTTTAACACGGTTATTAGAAAACTTTAAATTGCATTTAAGGCTCATACTGTATTTCTGTTGCATGGTTGCTGCACTGAGCCTCTCACCTCCATGTCATCGCCTCTTTTCTGATCATGTCAGTAACATTCAAAGTTATTGGCCTCAGTGACAGTGAGGTGCAGCTACAGTTCCATTCCAGTTTCTGAGAGCCACAAATGTATATATTTATTGCCTGGTTATGATCAGCAACCTTTATCCTGGAAAGAGCCAGAGGAGACAGTGACCATGCAGGAGACCTTCTGGAATCACCTCCATGGAGGGGAACTGAGGCACCCACCTGGGGTGGCTTTGGCTCAAGGCTGTGGGAGCCTGTGTCTGAATCAAGACTGCCTTTGCCAATAATCTGGCTCCAATAACCATCCCCCTCCAACCCAATCCAAATTCTTAGCCTCTTACAGGAAGGTTTCAACAGGCACTGGCTTCCTACTCCCTTAAATAGAACTAGACCAGGCAGCCCAAGTATGTGGAACAAGGCAGACATTTTTTATACTCACGCTGTCAAAGTGATTTAATTCTATATTGACTTGCTGGTCTTCCAGAAGCTCTCAGTGAATTCCACCTTTGTTCTTTCAGACAGTACTATGCTTACCTCACCGACACACAGTGCAAGCGTGTGGGAACCCAGTGCTGGGTGTTTGGGTGAGTAATCTTTTATCGTGGACATATAAAACCACTTTAGCCTCTGAATTTCTTGGGTTATTTCTTAACCCTACATTAAGTGCCTCTCAGTGCAGTTTTGTTTTTGTGTGTCTTTCATTTTTAACATTCCTTTTCTGATTTAAATTGAGAGGAGTTAATTGGCAAGTTACACAAAGAGGGTGTAGAAACTGTTTTTTGAAAAAATATTAGGAAATCAAAAAATAATTCCCATGTAGAACTTGGGGACCTTGTTTCTTGAAATAAATCAGAAAATGAGTTATATGAATTCCCCGTGAAATTGATGGTGAGTTTGGGACAACATATCGTGATGGGCTTAACCACATTTTACGTTACTTTCACACCAGAAAGACCCCACAAAGCGGCTGCTTGCTGTCTACCAGGGTCTAATTTTATTGTCCCAAAGAAAACTAACACATGGTGACAATTTATTGTCCCATTACAGATACAAATGCTGTATCTGAATTTACAATTATTTAAATGATTTGAAAGAAAGCAGAGGTTACCCAGTTTAACCCCCAATATTAAATGTGAGATACTCTTCAGTGTCTCAGATAAGTGCTTCTTCTGCTTCAATACCATCAACATCTCACCATGCCATTTAGCAACTGAAGTTCCAGAGACATCCAGCACACCTGTAGGTGAAGTTCAGTCCCTCAGGGAGCTTACATTCAGGACCTAACCTAGGTTCTAAATGGAGTGTGACAGCATAAAGAAAATCTGATGAAAACCCTAACAGATTTTTAAACAGAGTAAGTTTTTTTCCCTGTATTACATGCGTATTGAAACATCATCCAAAGACATCAACTATTTAGAGATACTTGCTGCTTATTTTGCGTTGTCATTCATTCCAAAGTGTGTGTGTGTGTGTGTGTGTGTGTGTGTGTGTGTGTGTGTGTGTGTGTCTGGAGCTCTCACTCCAGATTCTGGGGAGTTAGTGAAGTTTGATCTAGGCAAGTTTCCCACCGCCTTCTTTCCAAAAGACAAAGGGCCGTTGTCACTGTTTCTCATAAATTCTGTGATGTAAGCTGATTTTCCTACCCAAGGTTGCTTAAAGGGTGATAGGATGGACTCAATTTCCATCCTATGGATAGGATGGATTTCCACTGATTACTGATCTGGCGGGAGAGAGAATTCACACATCTACCAGATTTCTAATATACTTCTGTCACAGGAAGGAGGAAAGTGGTCTGCCTTCCTACTGTCTTGTCCGAGGACTGGGGATCTTTCCCGCACTTCCTTCTTTCACCACATGCCTCTTCTTTCCACGGGCATTTTTCTCTTCACGTTTACAAGTCCTTGCCAGCGTCTTACTCTACGGAGAGTGGGTATATTTTCCACAGAACTCTCTACTTACCTGTTGAGGAAAAGGAGATGGCGGATCAGAGAGAGAGGCAGTGTTACAACAAAGTTTTTTTCTGATCAGGCGGTCTGAAACTATAATCACCGTGGAGGGAGAAATGGCCGAGAGGAGCAAGGGCAGAGAATGGTGGCAAACGCCACTCCAGAAAGCTGCGCCTTGCTGAAAAGTGGTAAAAGAAAGTAAAACGCAAATGATCTGAGATGCAGAGGTCAGTTGGCTAATTTAGGATGCTTTATTATAGAGACTCGAGTCCTCCCAGGATGGTGACATCAAGGTTAGTGAACCTTGAGAACTAGTGGGCCATGCTGAAAACGAGCAAGTCCCTCTTCATAAGTGAAGCAAGGCAGACCTGCCTGGTGCGTGAACTTGGGCAGGAGCTGCCTCTGGGCGGTCAGCACGGTCAGCCCATGACGGTGAAACAGGAGGCGCGGCCTCCAGTCTCTTCTCTGCTTCGTTACGAAGTCAACTGAGTGGGTCCTGAACAGCATTTTCTGAAAATCAAATAGAGTCGGAAGATGTCAGAGCAAGGGGCCGGTTGTTTTGTGTGACTTTTGTTTCAGTCGTGTGTGTGTGTGTGTGTGTGTGCGCGCGCGTGTGTCTGTGTACTGGGCCACAGTGAAAAATAGGCTTCCTGCCGTGGGTCTCAGATCACAGAAGCTGGAGAAACAGCTCTAGTCTGCTGGTCACCAAGCTCTTGAAAGCTGCCTCAGTCGGCTTGAATACCCAGAAACCTCTCACAGTAAGCTCTGGGTGTTCTGTCTGGTTAAGGGCAGGTAGGCACACTTCTTTCCAGGGCTTAACAGTTTCTGATGCAGTCCTTCTGCAACCCAGCAAGACGTCCCAGCAAGAGGTTGCACATGCTCTGTGTGTCCACCGGCAGGCGCCCTTGCCCTCGCTGCTTCACTGACAGCCTCGACTTCAGTGTGACAGTGGACCTCAGCCCTGCTCTCCAACGTGCCAGCCTTTGTTGTGGCGGGGAGCTGGGGAGGAAGAGGGGGTGCTCTGTAAAGATTCAGGCAACCAATCCTAACCTTGTTTCGTTGGGGCTGTGGGCCAAGACAGCTCCAGATTCTTTAGAGGCGTGTCCAGGAGACTTTCTGCTTTGCACAGGTGGCTCTGACTCTGGGCATTCCGTTGTTTAGAGCCGTCCATCCATTTGACCATGGCAGTGACCTCTGTCTGCCAGTAGGGAGGGGACCGGGGGCCTTCTGGGCCTCTTCCTGCCTTTTTAGAGATTATCTGTGCAACAAGACCAGTCCCTCCAGATTCCGTTGTGATCGAGGCACACCTAAGGTGGCCTTATCTGAAATCGCTGTTCCTGGGCAGTCTTTGGGATCACGTGACCGGCTATGTTACCCTCACCTCATCCGTTCTTACCTTCAAGCTCTGAACCTTAATAAAGGTCTGATTTTAATATTCATAGATGAAGTTGTATTATACAAGGTTGGCTTTTTTCTCTAATGTTTTAATTAAAGAGGAAAGCATGGAAGTTATTTTTTCCAACGTTTTTGGATTTAGCAAAATTGCTTACAGATGCAGAGGATAAAGGGTTTTTATCATCAGCAGAACTGGAGCATATTAGATCTGGAAATTCTGAGATGGCTAGGAGGGAATGTGATTGCTGCCTTCAAGTTACTGAAAGACTCGACTGCGGAGGGCAGAATTAGGACCAGGGGTGGAAGGAGGCAGGTACCAGCCTGAGACAAGGAACGACTTCCCAGCAGCTAAAGAAACTGGGCAGCAGAGGCAGCTGCCCACAGAGGCAGTAGGTTCCCTGGCCCTGCAAGGGCTCCAGCCAAGGGGGTGACTGTCCACCCGTTGTGATAAGCTCCGACTTAGATACCAGGCAGCCTCCAGCTATGAAGACGTACGAGTTGAGATTGTAGTCTGTGAGGAAGGAAGATGTAAAGAATATTTGATTATTTCTGGGGAGGGATGAAGAAGCAGAGCACAGAGGGTTTTCAGGGCAGTGAAACCATTCGGTATGACCCTCTAATGGTGGACACATGTCATTATACATCTGTCCAAACCCATGGAATATACATCACCAAGCGTGAACTCTGACATAACCTATGAACTTTGGGTGATGTCAATGCAGGTTCATCACTTGTGACACATGTTGACAGTGGGGGCAGCTGTGCATGTGTCGGGGCAGAGGGTATAGTGACTGTACCTTCCTCTCAAGTTTGCTATGAACCTAAAACTGCTCTAAAAAATACAGTCTGCAGAAAAGAAGAGAGGTGTAACAGTACAAAAAACTTTTAATTAAATCTAAATATGTATGTATATATAATAATATATATTATTCCTGAAGAAAGTACAGTGTCATTTTGTAGGGGACCTGCTTCCAGTGTTTGGGGCAGAAATCTTATGACCACTTGAACTTTTTGATGGAATTATGCATATTTCTGGTAATGCATAATGCTCTGATAAGATGAATTCGTATCTAACCTCTTGTTCTGTCTAACAGGGTCATTGGTTTCCTGGAAGCTATTGTCTGCATAAAATTTGGACAAGATCTCTTCTCTAAGACCCAAATACTCTATGTTGTACTTTGGCTTCTTTGTGTGGTAAGTCATTACTTTTTTACCCCAAAGTGTTAGTTAAAGTCCCCATGGTGTCTTCTAAAACAAAACAAAACAAAACACTCTTGTGTACCAAGGTTCCTTAGAAATTTATAGACAGGACATTCTACTGTAGTAACGCAAGATTGGCCACTAGTCTGAAGTTCAAGAATAAATACATAGGACCACATGGCACCTAAAATTGGTCACCTTTGCAGGTTCTGGTCAAATGCCCTCAGCAGGTGCATCGTACTCTCATTTATTTCGCTTATGAGAATTCATCTACACTTGCTGAAAATGTCAGGCCTGCCATGAGGGGATAAGGATAGTTCCAGTGCCCCGTAACATATGTATTACTGTCCAAGGGTTTATGTACAAAATGACAGACTGTTGTTTATAGGCCGGGTGAGGTGTTTTTGGAGGTAATCAGACCATACAGTTTCTTCCCCGCAGGCCGACTTTATAAGCCTGTGAAGGATGTGTTTTCCTCTCGGAAGGGAAGAGCCCTGGGGGCCTCCAGCTCCGTTGTCCTGGGACATTTCCCTCCTCTTTCAAATGAAGCAAGATCTTGCCTAGCTTAAAATTCTGTGATTGCGCTTCTTAATTTGTTTTGTTACTTTGGGGAAGAGTCTTATTTTACATTTAAGATTCTTCCCTCTTACTTACTTGGTCCAGAAAATTAACTCGGGCTTTTTTTTTTTTTAATGATCATAGAAAATTTCAAACATATGTGGAAGTAGATAGGGGGTCGCTCACCCCTCATGCACCCATCATCCAGTTTCAGCAATTATCAACCCATGGGCAGTCTTATGTCCTTATATTCCATACTCACTATCCCCAGCCCTGGGTTACTTTGAAGCAGACCCACTTTACTATTTCAGGGCGTATCTCTAAGGAAGATAAGAATGCTTTTTGGTTGGTGCAACCACCGTACCATTATCACACCTGAAAAAGAGTTAATTCCTTCATACTGTCAAATAGCTAATCAACGTTCACATTTCTAATGTTTCCTTACATTTTGTATTTTTTAGCAGTTTATTTGAGTCAACACCCACTGATTGCAATTGGTTGGCATGCCTTTTAATAAAAGGTCTCTTTTAATCTACAGTTTTCCCTCTGTCTCTAGCTCTCTCCTTTACATTGAAGAAACAAGCTCTTTTGTCTTCTAGATTTTCCCTCAGTCTGGTTTTACTGACTCCATCCTTACTGTAACTTAACAGATTTCTTTGTCCTCTGTACTTTCTGTAAATCGGTAGCTGGATGTAGAGGCTTAATCAGATTCAAGTCTAATTGGTGGGGGGCGGGGAGCAAAACTAAGCTCTGTATTTCTTTTTTTGTGTGTGTGGTACGCGGGCCTCTCACTGCTGTGGCCTCTCCCGTTGCGGAGCACAGGCTCCGGACGCACAGGCTCAGCGGCCATGGCTCACGGGCCCAGTGTGTGTGTGTGTGTGTGTGTGTGTGTGTGTGTGTGTGTGTGTGTGTGTCTGGAGCTCTCACTCCAGATTCTGGGGAGTTAGTGAAGTTTGATCTAGGCAAGTTTCCCACCGCCTTCTTTCCAAAAGACAAAGGGCCGTTGTCACTGTTTCTCATAAATTCTGTGATGTAAGCTGATTTTCCTACCCAAGGTTGCTTAAAGGGTGATAGGATGGACTCAATTTCCATCCTATGGATAGGATGGATTTCCACTGATTACTGATCTGGCGGGAGAGAGAATTCACACATCTACCAGATTTCTAATATACTTCTGTCACAGGAAGGAGGAAAGTGGTCTGCCTTCCTACTGTCTTGTCCGAGGACTGGGGATCTTTCCCGCACTTCCTTCTTTCACCACATGCCTCTTCTTTCCACGGGCATTTTTCTCTTCACGTTTACAAGTCCTTGCCAGCGTCTTACTCTACGGAGAGTGGGTATATTTTCCACAGAACTCTCTACTTACCTGTTGAGGAAAAGGAGATGGCGGATCAGAGAGAGAGGCAGTGTTACAACAAAGTTTTTTTCTGATCAGGCGGTCTGAAACTATAATCACCGTGGAGGGAGAAATGGCCGAGAGGAGCAAGGGCAGAGAATGGTGGCAAACGCCACTCCAGAAAGCTGCGCCTTGCTGAAAAGTGGTAAAAGAAAGTAAAACGCAAATGATCTGAGATGCAGAGGTCAGTTGGCTAATTTAGGATGCTTTATTATAGAGACTCGAGTCCTCCCAGGATGGTGACATCAAGGTTAGTGAACCTTGAGAACTAGTGGGCCATGCTGAAAACGAGCAAGTCCCTCTTCATAAGTGAAGCAAGGCAGACCTGCCTGGTGCGTGAACTTGGGCAGGAGCTGCCTCTGGGCGGTCAGCACGGTCAGCCCATGACGGTGAAACAGGAGGCGCGGCCTCCAGTCTCTTCTCTGCTTCGTTACGAAGTCAACTGAGTGGGTCCTGAACAGCATTTTCTGAAAATCAAATAGAGTCGGAAGATGTCAGAGCAAGGGGCCGGTTGTTTTGTGTGACTTTTGTTTCAGTCGTGTGTGTGTGTGTGTGTGTGTGCGCGCGCGTGTGTCTGTGTACTGGGCCACAGTGAAAAATAGGCTTCCTGCCGTGGGTCTCAGATCACAGAAGCTGGAGAAACAGCTCTAGTCTGCTGGTCACCAAGCTCTTGAAAGCTGCCTCAGTCGGCTTGAATACCCAGAAACCTCTCACAGTAAGCTCTGGGTGTTCTGTCTGGTTAAGGGCAGGTAGGCACACTTCTTTCCAGGGCTTAACAGTTTCTGATGCAGTCCTTCTGCAACCCAGCAAGACGTCCCAGCAAGAGGTTGCACATGCTCTGTGTGTCCACCGGCAGGCGCCCTTGCCCTCGCTGCTTCACTGACAGCCTCGACTTCAGTGTGACAGTGGACCTCAGCCCTGCTCTCCAACGTGCCAGCCTTTGTTGTGGCGGGGAGCTGGGGAGGAAGAGGGGGTGCTCTGTAAAGATTCAGGCAACCAATCCTAACCTTGTTTCGTTGGGGCTGTGGGCCAAGACAGCTCCAGATTCTTTAGAGGCGTGTCCAGGAGACTTTCTGCTTTGCACAGGTGGCTCTGACTCTGGGCATTCCGTTGTTTAGAGCCGTCCATCCATTTGACCATGGCAGTGACCTCTGTCTGCCAGTAGGGAGGGGACCGGGGGCCTTCTGGGCCTCTTCCTGCCTTTTTAGAGATTATCTGTGCAACAAGACCAGTCCCTCCAGATTCCGTTGTGATCGAGGCACACCTAAGGTGGCCTTATCTGAAATCGCTGTTCCTGGGCAGTCTTTGGGATCACGTGACCGGCTATGTTACCCTCACCTCATCCGTTCTTACCTTCAAGCTCTGAACCTTAATAAAGGTCTGATTTTAATATTCATAGATGAAGTTGTATTATACAAGGTTGGCTTTTTTCTCTAATGTTTTAATTAAAGAGGAAAGCATGGAAGTTATTTTTTCCAACGTTTTTGGATTTAGCAAAATTGCTTACAGATGCAGAGGATAAAGGGTTTTTATCATCAGCAGAACTGGAGCATATTAGATCTGGAAATTCTGAGATGGCTAGGAGGGAATGTGATTGCTGCCTTCAAGTTACTGAAAGACTCGACTGCGGAGGGCAGAATTAGGACCAGGGGTGGAAGGAGGCAGGTACCAGCCTGAGACAAGGAACGACTTCCCAGCAGCTAAAGAAACTGGGCAGCAGAGGCAGCTGCCCACAGAGGCAGTAGGTTCCCTGGCCCTGCAAGGGCTCCAGCCAAGGGGGTGACTGTCCACCCGTTGTGATAAGCTCCGACTTAGATACCAGGCAGCCTCCAGCTATGAAGACGTACGAGTTGAGATTGTAGTCTGTGAGGAAGGAAGATGTAAAGAATATTTGATTATTTCTGGGGAGGGATGAAGAAGCAGAGCACAGAGGGTTTTCAGGGCAGTGAAACCATTCGGTATGACCCTCTAATGGTGGACACATGTCATTATACATCTGTCCAAACCCATGGAATATACATCACCAAGCGTGAACTCTGACATAACCTATGAACTTTGGGTGATGTCAATGCAGGTTCATCACTTGTGACACATGTTGACAGTGGGGGCAGCTGTGCATGTGTCGGGGCAGAGGGTATAGTGACTGTACCTTCCTCTCAAGTTTGCTATGAACCTAAAACTGCTCTAAAAAATACAGTCTGCAGAAAAGAAGAGAGGTGTAACAGTACAAAAAACTTTTAATTAAATCTAAATATGTATGTATATATAATAATATATATTATTCCTGAAGAAAGTACAGTGTCATTTTGTAGGGGACCTGCTTCCAGTGTTTGGGGCAGAAATCTTATGACCACTTGAACTTTTTGATGGAATTATGCATATTTCTGGTAATGCATAATGCTCTGATAAGATGAATTCGTATCTAACCTCTTGTTCTGTCTAACAGGGTCATTGGTTTCCTGGAAGCTATTGTCTGCATAAAATTTGGACAAGATCTCTTCTCTAAGACCCAAATACTCTATGTTGTACTTTGGCTTCTTTGTGTGGTAAGTCATTACTTTTTTACCCCAAAGTGTTAGTTAAAGTCCCCATGGTGTCTTCTAAAACAAAACAAAACAAAACACTCTTGTGTACCAAGGTTCCTTAGAAATTTATAGACAGGACATTCTACTGTAGTAACGCAAGATTGGCCACTAGTCTGAAGTTCAAGAATAAATACATAGGACCACATGGCACCTAAAATTGGTCACCTTTGCAGGTTCTGGTCAAATGCCCTCAGCAGGTGCATCGTACTCTCATTTATTTCGCTTATGAGAATTCATCTACACTTGCTGAAAATGTCAGGCCTGCCATGAGGGGATAAGGATAGTTCCAGTGCCCCGTAACATATGTATTACTGTCCAAGGGTTTATGTACAAAATGACAGACTGTTGTTTATAGGCCGGGTGAGGTGTTTTTGGAGGTAATCAGACCATACAGTTTCTTCCCCGCAGGCCGACTTTATAAGCCTGTGAAGGATGTGTTTTCCTCTCGGAAGGGA